GTGATGTTTCCTCGAAAAGGCGCGAGCCACAGCGCTCTCCATCAGTTGGGCCGGATGAGCTTGCTGAACCGCCAGGCCATGTCTTGGATCTCGACCATGGCGCACGCCAAACAAGTGCGATCCTGTGGCGAGAATAATTGCACCGGCAATTCGATTGGGGAAGGGTTTGCCATGACATGCAACGAGGTTAGTTGAATGACAGGACGCTATGGCGTTGACGGTTTGAAGCCGGCTCGTTCGAAAGCGGACGATCCCCTCTGGTTGCCCGCCCATTGTGCCGGCAAATTTAAGGTGATCTCAAGATGGCATTCTTCCGTGGATGACTAGCTAGGTTGCCACTGGGGACGCAGGCAGGCTTCTGTCTGTGTTTATTTTGGTATGCTGTGGGCTGCCCGTTTCTCCAGATCGAGCCATATCAGCCCCGTGTTGCAAGACAATAGGTCAACGTACCGGCAGCGAGGTGTGCTGGCACGGTGCATCTTTCCACAGCACAACGTCAAGAAGCTGAAGATAATACAAGGGGGGTGGAGGGGGGTTCGGGCATTCTCATCAAACCAAAGCCAAGCCGCGATCTGTCACTTGGAGCCTTTGAGGAGAGGTCGTGTGCAACTGTGCATCTCAGCTTGGCGGTTTGAGCTCTGCCGAGTGATGTGGCAGGACTAGCGGACCGCATCCTCTGAGTTTAGGACCGAAGAACGAAGCCTACACCACAGATAATCTGGAAGGATTCCACTGCTGTCCTCGATCCCTTACTACATTTAAGAGTCTCCGAGCGAATGAGACGCTGGCTGAACGGTCATGCATGGAAGTACAGTCCAGAACTTGAGGAGCCAACAATGGCTCATTTCCTTACGTTCCTATACTGATAGCGTCGCCGCCACTGCATTTGATGAGGTAGGGACAGCACGCGGCGCTTTCACGACAGCCTTGCTTTCGGTATAGCCACATCGCTGCGTTCGGAAAGGCCATCACTCTGACATGTCGCGTGGGAATCGTGTGGGTAGGCTGAGGCGGCCTGGAGGTGGCAACCGCAAGCGGACTTGATCGACGCGAGACGCCATGGTTCGATTGCTGGACCGTCATGACGTAGCAGGCTGAGCTGGACGTGCGATGCGAAGTCTTTACGGACCACGCTATTGATGAGGCAGGAGCTAGTTTCCCGCGCACGGGATTGTGAGCAATTTGGGACTGGTTCAGCGACGCGAGGCGGTGCTGCGACCACTAGCTGACTTTGAATATTCGTATTGGCTGTTGGATCGCCATGTGTTGTGGATGTTTGGCAGCGGCAGCGGCAGCGGATAGGCATGGCGAACGGCCGTAGGAACGGTATTGTGAACTTTGTAACGGGCCACCAAAGGTTGGTTGTGATGATGCCCACCAAGACCATTGGCGCACGGTACGAGGTCGATACACGCCCAGGCCGTCAGATGTGACAAGTTGATGCTTAGAGATTGGCGAGCCGGTTGGGCGGTAGCGCGGCCAGAGACGGACGGAAACGCACCCTTGCGCAGACACACGGGTGTCAGATCGTTTGATGAGATCCAACCAGATCTGGACCCGGTGACCATGCGGGATGGAGCGTGGGAAGCCGGAGCAAATCGGTGGACTAGGTGAGGGATCTAGGCCAGAAAGCATGGCGAAGCGAAGGGGGAGAGCTTGAAGCCATATGAGAATCGTACGATGTCGTCCATGGAGAAGCGCGAAGGTTTAAACGCCGAGTCGAATATGGACAATGGTGGTGCCGTTTAGACAAGCCAGGCAAGGCCCAGAGGCTAGGAGAGCAGGTGGCGGCCAGGGACATGGGCTGTAGCATGGCATACCTCTGTCTCTGTCCGGACCCATGTGGTCCGAGTCAGCGTGTTTGAAGGGGGAGGGGACCACAGTCCTTCTACACACACTATTGCCTGCCCGTTGTTGTCGTTGTGTCCCTGTTCTACGCCTTAGCAGAGAGGAACGCCATCCGCGGCCATTTGCAAGGAATCCGTGGCCAGCTAGGGTCTGGCAGCTGGAAGCGATAGGGGAGAGAAGCCACCAGGACTCATACTGTGTACATTATGCCACACGGCATCACCGTACGGCGATGAAGTACTGCGGCTGGGTATTGGTATGGATCAGGGAGAGAAATGGGCCGGGCCCAGATCCGAAGATCTCAGTAGCATAGCTTATCTGCGTTCAGGGCTTGGGGACCCCACGTGGCGGGGGAGAGGCACGGAGCTTTGCGCCATAGCAGAGATCAACGGGCAACGGACGTTGTCTTGGTGTATGGCTTGGGCTAGACCAGGCCGGGCGACGAAGTGATTTCCCAAAATGCTTTGGTGTCAGATGGGAAAGTGAAGTGTGTAAATTAGGCGTAGATATTGCTGCGGTCGTTGGCGTTAATTTCCATTTCCATTCTGCTCTGCAGCAACTGCCGTCATTGAGATCGGCCCCAGTAACTCGTCCGAGCATTTCTCAATGTCTTTGTGTGCCCCGAACAAGACTCCTGAGGGGTGTACTCCGTAGGAAGGACGCTCTGACGTGTTCGAAGTTCCTCGGGCGGACGCAGACAATAAGCGGAGTGTATGGGGCCGACACAAGAAGTTAGAGACATTGGATAATGACCCTGGTATGTATGTTGGATGGATTGCAACTTGTCGTTGGAAGGGGGTGGAGAGGAGTTGGGGACGACGTTGGAAACGAGAGCGAGTGAGGATGAAGCGATGGCAACAATCCTGGGATCCTAAACAGTCGGTCAGATGGTTGACAGGCAATATGCACGATACGAACCCAAAGATCGGGTCGCGCTCGCTTTGGAGAGCTCCACTGTCACCGCAGGTGAGGGGCCGATCTTGCAGTTGCGGTCGGCAAAGAAAGGAAAAGAGGGACTAGAACTTCCAGGAAGGTTGTCATCTGTTGCTGGCCGTTGGTCAGCAGGCGGAAAGAGGGTTGGCCCGGTCGAGTTTGTGAGTGGAGGCAGCGACGGGGGCAGACAGGAAGAACATGAGACTATGACTTGACCAGGTACGGGCAATGTACCTTAACCTCTGCCTCGGGCCCGGAGTGGAGCTCTAGTGTCTCCTTCCTCGTGTTCATCGGCAGGGAAAAGGCCGCGTTATGAAATGTCATTGGTTTGGGAAGGCTCTGACCGAGGTGGAGCATAGTGCCTGATCTCGCATGGCATGGAGACTTAGTCGACAGGTACATTGCAGCTACAAGCTTGGGTGGTCTGTAGATTTTACCCATCATCCATCAAGTGCCCGAGTGAGGAGGACGGGAGTGGGCAACAACGTTCGATCATTCAATAGCTCACTAGGTCCTACAGGTTGGCTGGAGACCGGGAGATCATGACGGGGCCGGCCAATCCGCACCGGGTAGATTGCTCGTGAAGACTCGGTTCCAGAACGATAAGAGTTTCAGACCCTGCAATAGAGCGGGCAACATTGGTGAAGTTTGACCCTTCAAGCTGAGAGAGAAAGTTCGTAAGTTGTGTAATAGGTGCTCAGAAATGGTGCTACTTGAGAATCTGAGTCGACAAAACTTACCCCACGATCCAGCAAGCACGGGATGCCCGAGCACGATTTGACTATGTACGATGGGCCAGTCTACCTTACCTTGGTTTGAGCAAGCGGCAGAAAGGCAGAAAATAGGGTGCGTGGATTTGCAACGTCAGGTACTGAGGTACTGTGCAGTATGTATACTACCTAGGTGTGTGGCGGGTAAGGTACCGAGGCAGGCCCTTTGAGTGAAGAGCGATGCATGGCTAGGAACCTGGAAGCCATGGTTTACGGTGTAGAAAGAAGCCCGGGCTCCTGCTACAGCATGGGAGAGATGAAGCCCGCTAAGACGTTGACGATTACGGGAGTTGGAAATATCACGCCACACACGAGTCGTGAGATGCGAAAATGGGACGAACATTTCGCGGATGTAGCTTAGTCTGGCAGCTGGAGAGACAGTCAGGGCTGGTGTTGGGGGATGAGGTGACATCCCAACTTTGAACCTTGGGGAATTTGGAACCAAATATCCATTCGGGAGTGCGTCTAGGTCAGGCAGACAGAATTAAGGTACGAGGTGAGCCCGGTAAGTTAAGGGAAGGAAGGCACGTTGTGAGGCATTTTACAGCATGGTCCTTCCTTCGCTCCGTCCTGTCGTGTTCCTCTCTTGCCGGGTAGGCACTTGCCTTGAGGTAAAGGTAGGTAGGTATGGTGGTGACTTCCATTGTGGACTGCGGCGTGCCCTGTGGAAGGTGCGTAGTAGGTAGGTGCGTACTTCGTACTCCGTACCTAAGGTACCTTACCTCACGGTATGGGTAGCTAGAAGACAACGGGCTGTGAGTGGAGGGATGCCTGCCATGAGAGGATCCACCCCCGTTTTTCCCGCCCAAAGTGAATCGCAATTAAATCGACGCAAATCTGCGATCGCATCCGGGGAGCCGCCGGGGTCCGATGTGGGCCACCTTTTGCCCACTTAGGTAATCTCTTCCAGGGAAGCCCCAGCCCGACCATCTTTCCACCTTTTCCACTATCATCTCACTGTGAGAAATGGCGGCAAGTACCCTCACGTACCGCTCCTGCTGTGTCTCCCAGAAACTTCCACTTCCACACCCCCCCGTCCGAGGTCACATCAATCCAATCAGACAGCCCACCCAAAATAGCGCCGGGAATTTTCCAAGAGCTTCCGCGATCGAGCTGCTAACCCTGTTGATCTGATTTTTGGGGTCCATGTTCCTCGATGTTCCTCAATTCCTCACACCACACACAACACACCACACACCACTCCTCACACCTCAATTCCGCTGTCGCTGTCCCTCATACACTATTCGTACAGACCCGACCACATCAGACTTTCGCTTTGGCACCCGGCATCATCAGCCACCAATCTATCCGTCTTCACTGCCTCAGCTTCTGATCGCACTCCCCCTTCAGCAGAGTTCAATGGGCTTTCGGTAGAACCTCCAAAAACAGCGCAATTCTAATCCACACAACCATTTTGCAATTCCCTCCAACCCAGACCTATCATGGCACATGGTAATTGGTACGGATACCTGTTGTCGGGGCTGCTGTCCGTTTTCTCCCATTGTCACGCTCCTTAACAGGGACAACCGTGGTTTCGGGTCGGCGCCGGCGCTGCTCATACGACAGGGACGCTGCTTCCAGGGATGCTACCTTGATCCTCACCAGACGTACCGCACGGAGTACCATCTACCATCGGCCGGCGCGCAAGGTTGTTCATAACGGCCCCTCCTCTACTACTATACACTTCCTGATCAATGTGCATAAGAGTCCGACGTATTCATCTGGCCATCTCAAATTACCTCCAGATGACGGATAACAGTCTATTCGCCGGCTTGGGTGGGATGGAAATAGCCCGGTTTGGCCGCAGACAAATAAAGAAGCCCGAGCCGAGGCAAGCAATAATAGCAATAGCGAAATGCGAGCGGGAGTTCTTCTGCCTGCCACTCTGCGATCTGCGCCTGATCGTCACTGACAAGATCACATATGCATTCGAGGTCTCTGATCACTCAAGGAGCCATCACTGCGGCTACGGAAACCAAAGAAAAAGCAACGTAAAGCATACCGCAACATGACTAGGTGCGAACTCAAGCCAGCTTATCCTACGGCAGAAGTGGGATGCCCAAGCTGCCATCACTCAATCAGGTCAAGTTCTTGATCCTCTTCTTTGGACGGAACTTCGGTCTAAATGTTGGCAAGCATCTGAGCACAATTCAGCCCGGCAGATGGACTCAGATCCAGCCCAACCATCACAGGTCCACATCGACATCCCCGGATGCGCTATATCCAAGGGCCGTCATATTGTGCGATTTTGTGCTCGGAAAAAATGGCGTAGGTACGTGCTTCCATCAAGCAGCGCCTGGTGTTCCTTGACTCCGTCATGGCGATTGTTCCAAGGCAACCCATCTCAAGCTACGAGCTACCTACTGAGGCACGTTCGGGCTTCACCAAGACGAGACATGACGGTCTGGCCTTGTCTCATCTCGCTGCCACGCCCAATTTGTTCTACCTACTCCTCTCGAGCTCTGCCAACCACGCCACGCGGGACTATCCAGAATGAAACCACAAGTTGTGTACAAACCACCACGTCGACTGCAGATGGACACCAGCACTGGCCATGTTGACCGCCTTGTTTTTCCACGACCGGAAACGCTGCGTTTCCTCGTCAGCCGCCTAGTGGCCTGTCACATCCACTTTCTACGGAAGATGGCAAGATATTCTGCCCGTCCTCAACTTCGCCCTAGGCCTTGGCCACCAAACTCAAAATGTGCGATTATAATTTCTCCAAAGATCGGCCGAGATGAGGAGGAGCACGTCCGCAACCACCTTAGCGACACAGAAAACCTGATGCAACGCGGCCCTATTACACACTGGAATGACTCGGACGCCCGTTCGACGGCGCCGAATAGTCTCTTCGCGGCTATCAGACTTCATCTCCCGCCTCCAGAATTTTGATCATTATCGCTTCAATCGTCTTAGCCCTCCAGTTTCTAAATCTGGGATCGGTCATATCTCTTTCCCGGATCAACCCCCCCTTGCTCAAGCGAGATTTAATTATGTCCAGCCTTCAAGCCACCAACTTTGAAACCTTCAGCGTGGTCTCCGGCTCTCCACGTTGTCCAAGCCAAGCCCAATGAACAAGATATGGAAGGCGGCAGTCGGGCGCTAACCATCAAAACCGCACAGCTTGCTTAAACGGGCCGTCTCAGTCTTGGAATGCTGCAAAGAGTCAATCTGCTCCCATGGCACTGACCTCTAGTCTGCCACGAGGTTTCTCACGGCGAGCTGGACCCACCTGGTCGAAGCCCACTTGGACCCATCCCGATCCTCACGAACCTGCGTCGTCCTCAACATCATCATCACCTGTACGGAGGACTCCCTAGACATTCTCGCAGCTCACGAACCCCGTCATCAAACCTGTCCACCAGCCCCTCATCGGTCAATACTGCAAGTCTCTTAGATCAGCACTCCTCATGCTCAGCTGGCGGCGTTGGCCTGGCCTGGACTCTACACGAAGCCACGCAACACGATGCCATCGTCTGTCCCCCCTTATTATGCTCCCGCAAAGCTCGCACAGCACGAAACAGAGATCTCGAATAGATGCAGATGCGCCTGCTTGCAGCTTTTGACTCTGATGCCGTTGTACAGCCCTGCACTCTGTCAAACAATGTACAGTGACAACAGCCACGCGCGGTTGGTAGCACCATGGCTGACCTCTTGCCATGTTTCCCCTCTAGTAGCCTTGGAGAAGGATCAGCCGGTCCTGCCAAGGTAGCCTAGGGGCGGCTGACTACTTGTCTGCCCACATGGATGAGCGCTTGGATTGCGCCAAAATACTATTGAAAGGGCGACGAGAAAACTCACGTTCTTGCACTGTACCCATGCGTCACTCCATCGATGCATGTAGGGTGCCTGGCGAAAGGGTTCGTCTGCACCGCGCGGGCGCATGGACGAGACGCAGAGACGCGCCACCTTGGACCTTGGGGTGCCGCCATTCCTCTTCCATGCCAGACCAGCCGGCCCGGAGCCGATGTCTGCCAACGTTGTGCATGCGGTGCACACCGAGTCTCCCGTATGCCATGCACAAGCCCACTTCACACAGGCCTTTCGTTCTCGGAACAAGACACGTTACGATGCCGCAAGCAGAGGAGCATGCAACGTCCTGACGAACTTATGCTGCGGAATGCAATGCGGCCTGCTACACCACCATGCTTTTTTGTTCCGGCCGTCTTCGAATCGACGAAATACCTGGTACGGATACGCTTCTCATGCTTTTTGGGTCTCGAAAGTTCACAACATCCACCAGAATACCACCGAAGCCTCCTTCAAATTTCCCAGCGTCCAGATACCGGCAAGCCCCAAACACATCTTTGTCTCCCGTCAAAGTCAAAATCATTCCATCAAGTCCAGGAATGTGACTCGCAACCTCGCCTCGAGGGAAATGCAACCAAAGTCCAAAACAGCTCTCGAGCCTCCCCATAGAAATCCCCTTTTGTCGAAACAAGACCCATAAACTGATGGCAATCTATGATCTGTGGCATCGGCATCCACTACAAGACGAGGACCCAGACAAAGGCACGCGGCGAAGTATTCCCCGGGGCGGCGATGGAGGAAAAATGTGACGAGTTTCTGGGTACTCCATCTCCGTACCTACCCCTTCGCGCTCAGCGCGCCTAGCCGCAAGTGATGGTCAATGGCACGCACATCACGCAGAATCCTTCCAGATAGACTTTTTCTCGGTCCCCTCGAACGCCCCGTCGCGATGACACATGGACCGCATCTCGAACCATGCTGATACTTTTCCCATCCCTCCACTGCCCTCTGGGATTTGGTACGGAAACCCAGAGCTTGGCATCTGGGCACGGCTGCCAAACCCGACACGAGGTCCCTTTTCCAACCTTCCATTGTAGTTCCGCATGGACATTAGGAGAAGGGAGAAACGTTTACTTGACTAATGTGCGGGACGGAAGGTCCATGTCTCCCCGCTTGTCAGCCTTTTTTGGTCGTCGAGTCTCCCTCCGGCATGATCGCAGCTATCCCGCCAGCCAGGGAACCACGACAACAAGATCCTCGTCGTCGTCCCAAGGACGCCGAACCCTCGTCTGTATAAGGCGTGATGGGGGTTCATGGGTGGGAACCCATCAAAATGTTCAACGCCCGCCGTGTAGTTGATTTAGCACAAGCCCAGCGCTACCCGGTCGAGCGTAGGGTACCTTTCCGGGGGACAGCCACGCAGCATTTCTGATCGTCCTTGTTTTGGACAATTCATTTGCGGGCGGTAGATTCTCTCGAATCAAGCCAAAGAATACCTACGCCACTCTACGGATACAGCAGGCGGCCACAACAGGGGAAGCGTGGTCGGTCAGCTTCTTTTCCCTGCAGAGCCCCAGGGTGAAGGGGGCGAGCCACCGATCAACCATTCCCGTGCGCTAGAAGCCATGGAAAGAAACGACTCACCCCTCCATCAACGGGACAAGGACGAAGGAAAGAAAGAAGAGGGGATGGCGAACGGCGGCTTTGGGAGAGAGATGGAGGCAAATCGCAGCGATTTACGGGAAGACGCACGGAAGGGAAAGGTAATTAATTAGGGGGGGAAACAAGAAGATGGGCGCATTGAACACATCACCAGTTGCGACAGCTCACATGCCACAAGGTCAGCACCGGCGCGCATCGCGAATTGAACAAGCCACCGCCGCACGCCGTCTGGCCCCCGGGGGGGAATAGGAAGAGGAAAACCTGAGAAAAAAGAAGACTTCTCTGCAGCCGCAGAGAGTACCTCACCAGTGGTTGGAGGTCTGGAGAAACAACCAATCCTCCAAAAGTCGAGTGAATGGGCGATTTACGGGGGGCGCCTGTCTGTCAATTTGTTGCTGCCACACCCCCCCTCTCATCCATGCTTCACCTTAGGGCGATGGGTTAAGATGCACACCTCCTACACCCCTCCAACCCCAACCCGCAATTGCATTGGCATTGCTCGCATTGCTCGCACTCATTTCCTGGGGATCAAAATGCTGTCGGTAATGCTGGTTTGTACAACGACACACGGCGGCGCGTACAGCACCGACCACGCAAGCTCAGTGCCAGCTCAAGCTCGCTCCGTGAAGGTTAGCTACGGCCGATGCATTGTAAATTGCCTCAATCACAGCAACCTGACCATTCTGGCTCTTTTCTGCCTGGTGGTAATGGCGGGGGTGTTGAGTCTTGTTTCTTGTGTAATGCTGAAGTCGTGACTTTTAGTGACACTCGCACGCACGCCCCAGACTTTTTTTGTGTATCCTTATTTTTCCTTCCGTCGAATCGGCAAGGGGGAGGAAACGGTGCGGGGAAAACAACGGAATCTGTTTCTTGTACGGGACTGGATGAGAGGGGAGAAGGGGATCTGACATGGCACAAGAGGATGGCTGTGGCATGGAGAAGAAGCAGCGAGAAGGCAAGTTTACCCTTCCTTTAGTCACCCATTCGCGTACAACGTCCCACGAACATCGATATGAACAAGCAGACTACCCGTCTCTGCGATCTAGGGCCCCCCCTCTTTCACGCTACCCAAGTACAAGCCACACGTTGCTCTTCCTTCTCTCTTTCTGTCCTTCCCTCTATCTACTGTGTAACCGTATGTGCCTCTCTTCTTGTCAACCCCATGAATACGGTTGTATCGTACCCTGCCAGCCTGCCTAACCTTGCCCACGTTGCACGCGGCGGAATCGGCGGACGGCGCGACTGCA